CGGTTTGAGATTAAAGCTAAACCACAGATCCCGTGCCATTGGATGTAGTGACTAGGTGTGTGGAGTAAAAAGCCATGTTTAGGTAATCTCCGGCATCTTTTCTTTTATTTATTTGTTCTTTTGTTTTATATTCTCAAGCACAATATTAGGTTGCATGAATGGCATCAAGTAGTTGAGATTTATTTTATTGATGTGTTATTTATTTTTGGAATTTCTATTGTTTGTAATAATACCATTTGTGAGTGATCTTGTTGTCAAAATTATAAGGGGTGATTATTATTAAAAAGAAAAAAAAAGAATTGTATTTTCCCGACAAAAGATCACATAGGTCTTTCTTTCATTGGTATCAGAGCTAGTTTTACTTGATTGTCATTAGGAGTCTTTTCGTATTTTTGCTTGAGAATAGAAATATATCATTGCTCGTACCTTCATCTCTGAGATCCTGCAAAACTGAAAGGTTTTATGGGACCAACTTTGCTTCATGGAAAAGAAAAATCAAATTTTTGCTCTATGAAGAAAACTTGTATGAGGTACTCTTTGAGGACTGACCTCGTCGTCCAACTGACGACTCATCTCAAATAATCAAATATGGGTACGCCAATTGGAAGAGGAGGAACTTGAGATGCAAACACATTCTTTTATGTGCCATGAATGACTCGTATGCTTCTGAGTACGAGTCAATCTATACTACAAGTGAGATTTTTGATAAACTTGAAAGAGAGTATGCTGACTCTCTCATGAAGCAAACTATGGCTATGAGAAGGTACAATGATTTAAAAATGGTAGAAGGTACCAAGTTTGTAGATCATGTGCACGTGTTTCGTGAGTTAGTCAGAGATTTGGAAGATACAGGCATGAAGCCCAATGAATCTATGCAAGTAATTCATTTAATGAATTCTCTTCCTAATTCATGGGAGACTTTCATATCTTCCATCTCTGTTAGAAGAAAGACACCCAAATTGGAGGAACTCATCACGACCATCAAATCTAAAGAAGAAAGGAGGAGTTCAAGACAAACCCCCAA